CCATCGAGGACTACGAAGCGTCCCGTGGCTGTTTTTAGATTGATAACAAGTAAAGCATTCGAGGAAACATTCATTTATTTGAATGTCCGTCGAGCCACGGGACGCTTCGTAGTCCTCGATGGCCATAGTTAGCTCTCGAAGGCTAAAAACCTTACGCTAACTGGAGCACTAATGAGAGAGAAGCGCTCCAGTTAGCGTAAGGCTTTTAGCCTTCGAGAGCTAGCTATGGCCATCAAGGACTACGAAGCGTTCCGTTGGTGTTTTTAGCATGATAACGTGAGTAAAGCATTCGAGGAAACGTTCGTTTATTTGAATGTCCGTCGAGCCATAAGCAATTTATTCTGAGCAGCTAATCGGATGCTACGGATCTAGCTTCAGTATCTACACACATAGACAGTGAGGTCCCTCTTGGCCAATCGGAGGCCAGGATGATGCTCGGTAAGCCAATGGCAGAGCAGCTATGAGTATGTTGAGTCCAGGAAACTCGCAGCTGTGACCGAAATAAACATCGTTCACTATGTAAACCAGTGTGGTGGTTGCTGTTGCCTTTTTTCGAACGAAGCAGTAGAGGTTGTTGTTGGATAAGACTTCATTGTAGTGAATGTCTTCGTGAGGCTGGAGCAGAGAAAATGATTTCGTATAACGCAACAGGGGGGTTTTCGTTGTATGAGGGGCAGGAGAATGGGAAGTGTGTTAAGGCATGAAGATTCTTTCACATAAGGGGGTATTTTCGCCCATGTAGGTTTTGTTCTAGAGGAGTTTCACTGTACAGTAAATATTCTCTAGTGCGGACTCGTGTTTGCACTGTCCAATTTGTCCTGATAACAGAAATTCCTCATTTGGGAAATGAGCATGGTACATGTCCTTTATGAACCTGCAAGTATGTTGACAAAAATGCACGTGTAACAACACAATAAAATACAAAAATATACTGTCAAAAACTTTATATAACAAAAACTGCAATACAGGTGTACCCAAAAAAAATCACAACAGCCCGATGTCTGGTAATTATTGTGCATACTGATGGATTTGTTGCCATTTGCATTGCTTCCTCGCTGGATGGTGGCTTGTCATCAGGAGTTGAATCGATGCCTTGTTTTTTAAAGTTTCGTAGATTTGCGTCTTTCCGACTCCAAGTGTCTGCTGGATGCTTTTAACTTTGTGTCCAGCCTTGCTCAAACGGATGCATTTCACTCGCTCCGCTCCAGTCATTACAGTTCTTCTACGTTTCGATGCCATGATCTACACGACGTAAGTGAATAAAGTTAAAATCTTTCGCAATTGCAGTCAAACGCATGCCAATAAAAAGTCACTTACACGTCTTCGTTTCGAATCTGATGAACGTAAACGGCGAAGCAAACAGTCTGTTCGGTCGTGTCGAGTGGGTGCTGCTTTTAAACTAGTGCCGCGTTCTACAGGACGTTAAGTGAATAAAGTTAAAATCTTTCGCAATTGCAGTCAAACGCACGCCAATAAAAAGTCACTTACACGTCTTCGTATCGAATCTGATGAATGTAAACGGCGAAGCGAACAGTCTGTTCGGTCGTGTCGAGTGGGTGCTGCTTTTAAGCTAGTGCCGCGTTCTACAGGACGTTAAGTGAATAAAGTTAAAATCATTCACAATTACAGTAAAACGCACGCCAATAAAAACTCACTTACACGTCGTCGTTTCGAATCTGATGATCGAAAAACGCGAAGTGAAAATGTGTCTCGGTGTCGTCGTTCCGTAGCATCGGGTGGGCGTTGCGTGTATTTAAGCTCCCGCGGCATGACGTGTCAATCCAGGTTACGGGTAGTGGAATTTCCGCTTACGTAAGTTCCGGTAACATGTAATATCGTAGTCAAAATGTTAATGCACAGGCTTTTGTTCCTGGTGAAGGATATTCCTTTTCAGAGAATTCCGGGGATGGGAATATTTACTGTATTTACAAAGAAAGTTTGAGCTGGCAGAGTCCTGCGATGTTCTGCTGTAATGGAGCAAGCGTAAATTTCACCTGCATCACCAACAAATGAACTATTTAACCCAGGGGTGTCAAACTAATTTTTGTAGCGGGCCACATTATAGTTACCATTCCCCTTGGTGGGCCGTTATGACTGTGAAACCATATAAAGAAGTCAAGGATATTGGTTGATTGAACTATTGTTTAAGTTACTGTCATGAGGGGTTTGGCAACAAGAAAATGCTTTCAATATCTCTCTTATTACACATGAGAAGATGAAATTTTGGTCCAGATCTTAGCAATTATCATCGAAGCTGACATGTTTGATTTGCTTTCGCGGGCCACATAAAATGAAGTGTTGAGCCAGATCTGGCCCCTGGGCCTTGAGTTTGACACCTGTGATTTAACCCATATTAATAATTAAAACAGTGAAACTTGACACAGGGAATAAATTTCACAGTGACGTCACATATTGTCATCAGCGTATCATAATGGTGTGTGTGTGTGTGTGTGTGTGTGTGTGTGTGTGTGATGTATAGGAGAGAAATTCTACTTTATGGAGCAAGCAAATCTACTTTTCCTCACAGAGGGGACTTGATGGAACTTGGGGTTTGAAAAGCGGGCGCATTACAAGAGGAATCAGAACCTTTACTTGGGCACCGTCGTTGGCCATCCCTCGGAGATCCCGGATACATGGCCAACCGGGTGTCCAAGTAAAGGTCTGAAGTGAAAGATTCGTGGGTGGACTCATATCATAAGAAAAACACGACAAAAACATAATAGGAAAAGAACTGGGAAAATATAAATTGGTGTTAAAATCTGAATCATAGTCATAGAGGTTAACTGCCATCCCCAACGTCTTAAAAGTTTGGCTCTAAAACAAAACGTGGGGTGTTAAAATAGAAGGGAAGCATTAAAAAAATCCAGGACAAGTCGATGGAACGGGTGAAACGTGGAGGAAAAGACAGAGTTTACGCAAAACGTGTCAGCGTGGTCGGCAGGCTGAGGGCAAAGAGGAAGCAGACATCCAGCTGGCAGGTTGACGCCGTGCGCTTGCCACTGGGTCCTTTTGTGGCCAGATTCATTCTGTTATGGGTTTGGCAGGGTTTCGCACCCAAATACAGGAAAGCAGGGAGGCGATACAGGTGTGCTCTTAAATTAAAGAAAACAAGGAACTTTGGAATCATCAAACAAAAGCTAAATTAAGCCTAAAAGTAATTAAATAAAAAAAAAATCACCCAAAACTCAGTGGACCATGGACAAGACCACTCACGGGGACTGCAAACCAAAGCAAATGATCCTCCATTGACTGAAAGAAGGCAGGGAAGTAAATACAAGAAAATAAGTGACTGACATTCCATTTTCATAGAGGTGTCGTGAAGTTCTGAATCAAACAGTTTCAACTTGACATGATAGAGCATCATTTGCCGTTTCATGACCTGATGGTCTCTTTTCAAAAGGTTCATTTTTTCCCCATATGAGGTTTTTGAGTTTTTCCTTTCCCTCTTCGGGGGTTAAGATCACTCAAGGTTTGAGACTCTCGTGATTAAGGATTATATCAATACATTTGATTTGATGGTGTTTCACAGCCATCGTATCCATCCGCACTTTTTTTCCTAATAATTGAGTTGTAAACGGTTGCATTCATGAATTCCCCATCTAACTGCTTCGTGTAAATGCATGTACAGTGGTACCTCTACTTAGGAAATTAATTGGTTCTGGGAGAAAACATTTTGTAAATTGAGACGCGTTTTGCACATAAATGCCCTAATCCGATCCAAGCCCCCCAAAATTCTGACATAAATGTTTTATAAAGCATATAAATGCATCAAAATATGTAAGAAATTGTTAGAGGAATCTATGGGCGAAATTGTATCATGTTTAAGTTTCATTTGATCCGTGCACGTTGAAGCGTCTGGGTGCGTAATTCGCACCCCCAAATTCCTGTTCAGAAGGTGCCGGTCATTTGGGCGGAGGGCTGTTGCAGCCCACACCACAATTAACACATCAAGGCGGGTGGGCGATCAGAGGAGAGAGGGCCAGATCCGGTCACAAAGGGGGAACGATTAATTTGGGAACAGCGGTTGAACAACAAAAGACGATTTGAGGACACCCGTCGCGCCCAGGCGACATTTGTCGTCCGCAAAGTCTGCGATATGTTGATACAGTGTAGACCAGACCGAAAGGCGCCTAAGTGCCGGTGGTTCAAAGCTCACACCCAGGTAACCAATCACCACCGAGGGGCCGGACCAGGGGTGCGGTATGCAAATATCGGGGGCAGTGTTTTTCTTGTATGTTGCATATGTCACAATAAAGGTTCGAACTCGAGGAGGGGGGGCTCTGAGCGTGATCACGGAGCAACTAAACCGTCGTTCGCTCTCAGAGATCCGCTTCCGTCGATATTGAAGACAATTTTCCTGTGTGCCGAGTCGTTTCTTTAACTTTGTCCGAGAAAATCCCTGACAGAAATACATGTTACAATTAGATTATTGCACAATAAATGAGAGTTGTGCATCATGTAAATAACAAATAATAGAGTCAAGAATAAAAATGGTCATTTAATTTTTAACACCGTCCTCATCGTTTTTTGTTCTCTCTCCAAAGGGTTTTTTTTGCCTGGCGTTTTGTACAGAACTGATCCAAGGACATTTGCTTTTGTCGGCTTTTAACAATCCTTTGAAACTGTTTCCTGTTGAGGCGTTTCGTAACATGAAAATGTATGAAGAAACGTTCGTCAGTAGAGGTACCACTGTATTGTATTATAGAAAGCGTCTGTTGTTGAGCTTTTTTGTGTATTTGTTCAACCTCCTAGGTTGCTCGACCCTCCTGTTGGCCAGTGCGGTGTCATCGCTGGGAGGTCTGGTTTTCGGTTACGAACTGGGCATCATCTCTGGTGCTTTGCTGCAGCTCAAGGCTGAGTTCGGACTCAGCTGCATCCAGCAAGAGGCACTGGTCAGCTCCTTGTTAATCGGAGCTCTGCTAGCCTCCCTGCTGGGAGGAGGCTTGATCGACCGTTATGGCTGCAGAAAGTCCATCCTGCTCAGCATTGTCTTAATGCTGACTGGAAGTCTCATCCTGCTTATCAGCTCCTACCAAACCCTTTTACTTGGCAGGTTCACAGTGGGCTTTGCCATGTGCCAGTCCTCTATGTCCTGCTGCATCTTCGTATCAGAGATGGTCACCCCGGAACGTCGGGGCTTTTTGGTAACGCTGTATGAAGCTGGCATTACTGTGGGCATCCTTCTCGCTTACATCACGAACTACGTTTTGTTTAATTTACAAAGTGGGTGGAAGTGGATGTTCGGCTTGGCTCTCATACCAACATTGATTCAACTTGTGTCCGTATGGTTCCTTCCGTCGAACACTGAGACGCGATGTATTCATTCTGAAACAGCCCTTATGGCTGCGATAGAAACCCAAGACGAAGCTTGCTCAAATGGCACCCAGGAAGGCAAGAAGGTGCAGTATAATATCATGTACCTTTTCCAGCGGAAAGACAACATGAGGACCCGCACCATCATCGGGCTGGGACTGGTGCTTTTTCAGCAGTTCACTGGCCAGCCAAATGTTCTCTTTTATGCCTCCATCATATTTCACTCTGCAGGATTTCAGAGCGACAACTCCGCAGTGCTGGCCTCAGTCGGGATTGGAATGGTCAAAGTGGTCGCCACTCTTACCTCCATGGTGTATTCAGACAAAGTGGGCAGAAGGCCTTTGCTCATCGGAGGATGTTGCGTCATGGCCTTTTGTCTGATGTCCATTGCACTGCTCAGTGGACATTCACTAAACCACGTGGCCAGGCCTTGTAGTTCAGATGATTCACTTGGCAACAAGACGAGTCACCTTCATTTCACGACTGGAAATGACACACCTCCTTACACAACTCTCCATGAGAACCACAAGCTCCAAGCCGCTGGTGTACTTATGGCGGGAAACAAAGCAGAAAAACCTCAGGAACCGGTGATGGAGGAAGTTTTCAACTGGATCATACTTATCTGCATGATGGCAGTTGTCACTGCCTACTCTGTTGGATTTGGGCCAAGTTCGTATATTTACCTTGACTATATTCCGATAGTTTATTCCTGCTCTGTGTTATTTTGATGTACAGTGTTGCCTTGAGACACGAGTTAAATTTGTTCTCTGACCACGCTCGTAATTCAAAACACTCATATCTCAAATGATCTGTCCCCAGTGAAATGAATGAAAATTCCATTAATGCCTTTCAGGCTCGCCAACACATATAACATCTTGTCATGATTTTTTTTTTTTTAGCTCGAAAGAAAAATGTGTCGTAACAATTCAACAGAATGTAAAGAATTCAACAGTTTGTGCATCTTGATTCATCGCGATTCATTGCGGCTTCTTATGGTGTGCACTTGCACAATAACACAATAACAGTTTCATGTGAAAAGTCAGTTTTAGTTGAATATATTTTTTTGTGTCATGGCTGCTGAAAAAGATGGCTGGCCGCAAATGGCCCCCAGGCCGTAGTTTGGGCACCCCATTCCTTAAGCATTATAACACTGCCATGTAAATGCTTTTTTTCTAAAAGGTTCCTATTATTTAGGTATGTGCGTAAAATTTCAGTGATTAATTGACTTGCATGAAACCAGCATTATCAGACAAATCTTTTTAAAGATGATTCCAGCAATATACGGGACAAATGTTAAGAAAGTTATGGTAGTTTAAATGCAGTCAAAAGGCATCAATTTGTGGCCAACGTCTTAAACTTAATGTTTCTGGAATGTGGGAATAAACTGGAGTACCCGCAGGAAACTCACACAGGCACGGGGCGAACGTGCAAACTCCAGATAGGAACGCCTGAGCCGGAATTGAACCCTGCACCTCTGCACAGTGCGGCGGACATGCTAACCAGTCGATCACTGTGCTGCCTTCGGTGAATATCAGCATAACAGAAATCATAACTTGATATCATGGCTCCCATGTGGAGAAAAAACAAATTAAAGAGTCCAGAATGAATACATTGTTAATAGACACAGTACGGTACAAATACATTATGTGTCACGATTCAGACTAACCGAATCAAGTTTTGGATCCCAAAAGTGTAGACTCCAGACAAGGTCTCCGAAGCAAAAAATGTTTAATGTACAAAAATTCGCACCGACAAAGTAGTAACCAAGCACAGGTCAAAACAAGGACCAGGGAGCACAAAAACGAATAACAAAAAGCACTTGCACAAAAGTCAAGGGAGGAAAACAAGAACCGAGACAAACGAAAAACAATGTATCAACTACACGCAAGAAAAAGCCAAATCACAAAACAAAGCCATACTTACAGAATAAATGGTACCGAGAGTTCAAAAGCGAAAACGACGAGATCTATAGCAAAGAGTCTGTGATGAGCAAGGAAGCATCAAGGCATAAACAATACTCCGACAACCAGCAGACCGATTGCGGGTCCTTAAATACACAGTTCCTTAATTGAAAGATTGGCAGCAGGTGTGCAGCCAGAAGTCCGCTCAGTCTGCCACCTGCTGGCCAGGCCAAGAACAGGAACATGACATCATGTTTCGCAGGCATTTGGGGTTAATTCAATTCATGAAATTCGATTGAAGCAACAGAAAATAGGAAATAACATGACGGGTCATAGTGACATCATTTGGCAATCTGCAAGCCCAAAAAGTATGTCTGAAATTGACCAATTCACTTCAAATTTGGCAGAATCTATTAGAAATACATGTTCATTTGGATTTGGATAGGGCGGCCCGGTGGCCAACTAGTTAGCGCATCGGCCTCACAGTGTGGAGGTCGGCTTCGATTTCAGCTCCGGCCTCCCTGTGCCTGCGTAGGTTTTCTCTGGGTACTTCGGTTTCCTCCCACATTCCAAACACATGCATGGCAGGTCAATGGAACACTCTAAATTGTCCCTCGGTGTGATTGTGATTGCAAAGGGTCATCTATGTGTGCCCTGTGATTGGCTGGCAACCAGTTCAGGGTGTCCCCCAGCCTACTTTCTGGAGACAGCTGGGATAGGCTCCAGCACCCCACCCCCTGCCCCCTGTGACCCTTGTGAGGATAAAGCAGATCAGAAAATGGATGGATGGATGAATTTGGGTAATTTCCTTACTCACCTAAAAAAAATTTGAAGGGTTTTTGTCAACTACAGATTCGGGAAATATTCTCCAAGTCTTACACCATGTGTACTTGATCTGTCGAGAAAATTTGAAGTTGTGTTTATAACTAGGACACCTGTTCCTGGTCATCGTTAGTGGTGTAGTGGCATGATGAAAAAAAATTGCTTCAACGTCATTCAAAATAAGCAATTACTGTATGTTTGTGGCTCATTGAGTGACCACTTTTAATGGAAACACACATACCTACATTGGATGTTTGCATTAAGCTTTAACTTGTAGACAGGTTAACGTGGTTGTTTTAATTGCCATTGTGTCATTGTTTAATGTTTAGTTTGACTTTCAACAGCTCAAAGCCTCTTTTTTGCTATTTTGTTAACTATGCCCAACTGTTGCTTATTGTGAAGCAAGTAGAAGTGAGCTACTGTCACCATGTACAGCGCTTGTATGGATTATTTTTTTTTTCTCTCAAGTCAAAGCTGAGAAATCGGTTTGTATCTCAAGGCATCACTGTACAAGCCTGCTATCAACATGAATATGATGCTCTTTTGAAATTGCTGTCCTGAAAACATACTGTCATAACTACTGTTTCATTGCCCAACGACTTGTTGACTGAATGTATGTTGTAAACATAGAAAAGAAAAGCTCTTGTTTGTTTGCTGCAGTGACCTGGCTCCTCCTCAGTGAGATATTTCCCGCTGCTGTAAGAGGAAGAGCCTTCTCATTCACCAGCTGCTTCAACTGGATTGCCCACCTCTTGGTTGCTTTCACCTTCCTGGATGTTTTCAGTAAGCTTGTGTGTGTGTGTGTGCGTGCGTGCGTGCCTGTGTTCATGTGTGCGTGTGTGCATGTGTGTGTGAGAGAGAGGGTTGTGAGCGTGCTGGACCATATTCCAGCTGTTTTCGGGCAGCAGACAGGTTCCACCCTAAATCGGTTGCTACCCAGTTGCATGGCACACATGCAGTTGGGTAGCAACGAACACCCATTTGCACGCACAATCACACATAAGGACAATTGGTGTCTTCCATTAACGTACCATGCGGGGTTTTTGAATGTGGGAGGAAAACCGGGAGAAACCTATTTTTTTTTACCCCAACTGTGTGTGCAATTGGCTGGTGCACAGTCCAGGGTGCTCCCTGCCTCTCGGCCAAAGTTAGATGGGATCGGCTCCAGCTCACCAAGTGAGGACGGGCGATGTAGAAATAGGATGGATGAGATGGTGTGCAAAGTATGTGCCGTGACACAATCAATGTTGGAAACACTGGCTTGTTTGTTTGTATCACCAGATGCAATGGGTTTGTCTGGAACTTTTCTTCTGTATGGGATAACCGCAATGTTGGCTGCAGTTTTCTTCTACTTCATGCTACCAGAAACCAAAGGCAAGACACTGGAGGAGATAGACAGGGAACTGCGTTTGAAAAGGTACTTTCTTTACTGTCATATGTTGTCATATCAGACGGAAGACTAAGACACTGGTGTGCTTTCGCCTTAGGTTTCACAATAATGTGGCGTGCTGTGATGTCATCAGACGAAGAAATTCCCCTCGAGAATACCAAAGAGTCTGTCAATTAAGCAGCTGAATGTTTGAACAAGGATCACTTATCAGCAGGTTTTCACAATAAACACACAGGGCTGCATTTTATTTGACCATTGGTGCATTCTTTCTCCCATCTCAACACTTAAAATGCACTGTTTTTTTTATTTGTTTGTTTTTAAGAAATGGTTGTCTTGTTAAGTATTACAACAGTAGCAGCAAATACAGTTTGGGCATATGGTTGCCTTGGTTGCATTGGATTTGTCACGTCATTTCAGCACCACTACCAGAATTCGAGCGGCACACTTAAAGTCGGCTACTGAGCAGGGCAATTGTTTTTATGAACAATAGGTGGTTTGTGTTCATATTCGTGGAGTCCAACTATGGTAAAGTCTGAGTGTGGGGTTAAAACAATGTCCAAACATATTTCACTTTTATAGGATATGTGGAGCAAATGAGGATGTGTGATAATCAGGTGTTTATTGATTATTCACTTATTTGGTTATCATTTGATGTTACCTTTTTTTTGTTCGTATGTGGTTTGTAAATTTACATATACAGACAATTTATATTAATAATTATTCTGCAATTAATTTATATATTGAAAGGTAAAAAATATTGGTAGCATAATGGGATAAATCCAGTAAAACTATAGTTTTACATATTCTCACTCTTTTTTTAGGATATGCAAAATTACACGAAACTGAATACAGGGGTTTCTTTGCGTTCAAAATTGCGTGGCGCCCACCTCCAGATGATCAGCAGGGCGTTGGGGGACGGTCCGAGCCAGACCATTTGATATCGCTCGACCTCAAGTGAAATATCACGACGCGGCGCATGTCTCGTGCGCGTTCACCGTGTTTATTTGAGGGAGAGAGTGACTTCACTTTGCTTCAAACGGACAAGAGGAGGAACACCCGCGCTCCATTCATAAATGTTTACACATCGCCAGAAAGTCTGGTGGCCTACGGTGGTTGTGTTGCCAGCTAAATGCTATCTTGGTTGACACTTGAACAGCTGCAAACGATTCAATCCAGCCGGTGAAGAAAGCTGTCTGCATGCCCCTCAGTCCCGCCCCACACCATATGTCGGATATGTCGGACCCGTCTCCTTGGGCGGGCGGACAATAGGGGGCCGTACCCACCCACCAAGATGCCATTTGAGGCACGAATTTCGAAAACAAAACTTTTATTAATTTACTTTTTTGATCATAGTAGCCATTTTGTGTTGTGGAATACTAATGTCGAGTTGGTTTTCACTAAGATATTAAAATATCAAGAAACATGGATGCCATTTTTTTGTTTGATTGACGGCCAGTCTTATCTGCAACAGCCATGGCAAGACGTGATGTATTTTATGTACGACGGGTTCCTCTCGTGAAGTGACATAAGCTTTATAAGTGAGTGCCTCTATGAAGAAGAAAGCACAAAATCCCTAATACTTGGGCGACAATCCGAATATTTTGATGTGAGGTTAAGATGTCAACATAAATGTTGGTGACCACTGATCGCAGTTTTCGCTCATTAGGCGATGTATGGCAAGCCATTTGAGCATTTATTCCAAATCCCTGATATCAGACATGAGTGTGTTACACTAGTTCAATCTTTTTCAGCACTAGTTCGACACTCAGCCACACTAGTGACGCACTTTTCGAACTAGTTGCGCAGAAATCCTCACTAGCCACTCATTTTTGGCAACCAGTGCCACTTTTGTCCAACTAGTGCTGACAAAATTCTAACTAGTGACACCTGGAAGCACACAAGCAGAGGGAACTTCCCAGCTAGTCAGCTTTTTTTATGCCCTAGTGGCCCACTGGACCAAACTAGTGAGGTTCAAAGTCCTACTAGTTTACTAGTAAGATTAAAAAGTGTTAACATGTTAACTAGTGAAACGTGGATTGTTCTAACATGTTAACTAGTGGCCTATGATTCCCTGCACTAGTTAACTAGTGGGAGCTGAAATATCCACTAGTTAACCAGTGGAGGATAAAACATTGACTAGTGCACTAGGTTAAGACCGTTAAAGCCTTGATATCTAACTAGTGAGTCCAAAAACAATACTTGCTCACCAGCGATGCCCCAAATATCCACTAGTTCCACTAGTGCAACATTTTAACTTCACTAGTCAAACTAGTGAAGTCAAAATGTCGCACTAGTGGATGTCACCGTACTCACTAGTCAACTAGTTAAATGGTCTTTTGATTTAACTAGTAAACGAGTGACGGCAAAATGTTCACTAGTACAGCATGTGAAACACTAATAGCTCACTGGTCACACTAGTTACGCTAAATGCTAATCAGGAGGCAGGACAGTGCCAGAAGTGAACACCTCCTATTGGCTACCTGATAAGAGCTCCACCCAGCAAAAAATTAACCCTGGAAAGCCTGATTCTTGAGCTTTCACAATTATTTACTGCCATTTGCGTAATATCTACAGTATACAGAAGGAATCAAGCAATTTTTACTAGTCAATGTATCTGTAGGTGATGTTTATTTATTATGTACACGGAGATAAAGGGTAATGGTACAGCTCTACAGTATCTTTCCACTTTTATATATATGTATGCTCTGCTAAATAAAATGAATACGGCACCATATAATGCAAC